CAGAACCAAAATAATTTATTTTGTATTGCTTGTTATGAATAATCTGCTTAAAAAATGATCCCCAAAAAAACTTTCCTTAGAGAAAAGTGTGTGAAGATTGTTGTATTTCACCCTAGAGCCATTAAGCCCTTCTATAAGAGATTACTAACATGTTGTTAAAGGTTGAGCCTTGTGTGTGTGTGTGTGTATATATATATATATATTGCCTTCTGCTTTAAACCCATCAAATGTTCTGCGCAATTCTTGGTACATCAGTGGTGTAAGATCTGATACATTATGTAGCCACATTTGCGGCCAAGTGTTCCAGGAATTCTAAAATTTAAAATACAGTTAGACAGGAGATTCTTTCATGGGTGAGGCTTGTCCGAGCCTGTGGAGATGGGCCGTGAGCATGGCGGCAGTTGAGTTCTGGAAGTTTTCAGCTGTCAGGGCTCTGTTGGGGCGGAGAGGGGTCTCACCCGCCCCCCCTCCTGCTTGCCCTGGAGGAGACAGCCTGGAGGCATCTCTGCAGTGTATTGTTCTATGTTGCTCTCTTCCAAAAGCTTCATTTCTGCAAACTGGAAAATTCTTAACTGTTTTTTTTCCCTTTTATTCTTTTTTTTTTTTACTTTTTGGGTCACACCCAGCAATGCTCAGTGGTTACTCCTGGCTCTGCACTCAGGAATAACTCCTGGCAGTGCTTGGGGGATCATATGAGATGCCGGGGATTGAACCCGCCCAGCCGCATGCAAGGCAAACGTTCTACCCACTGTACTATTGCTCCGGCCCCTCTTTTTGGTTTTCAGGACACACCCAAAAAATGCTCAGTATTACCAGCTTACTCCTGGCTCTGTATTCAAGGGAACTATATGGGATGCCCAGGATCATACCTGGGTGAGCCATGTGCAAGGCAAGAGCTTATCTGTTGTATGCTACTCTCTCCAGCCCTGTAATTTTTTCAATCAGTAATTCTTTTCCATTTTCTTTCCTCTCTCCTTGAACTCCTGTAGTTTAGATGTTATGTCTCTATTATGCCCACAAGTGCTTGACATTTTCTTCATTCTTTTTTCTTTCTTGTCTTTGTTGATAGTTTCATGTGTCTTTTCCCCAAGCTGAGGAATGAGCCTCATTCCTCAGCTTTCATTATTCTGATGCTCGGTTCATCTGTGTTTTTTACTTCACCAACCATGTTCTTCAGTGACTTCTTTTTTGTCATTTTGTTTCTGGGTCACACCCGGATGTGCTCAAGGCTTATTCCTGGCTCTGTGCTCAGGGATCAATCCTAGTGGGGTTTCGGGGGACGGAGATCGAACCCAGATCAGCCGCATACAAGGCAAGCGCCCAGCCCACTGCACTGTCTGGCCCCGCCAGTGACTTGCTATTTTTTCGCTCTTTCTCTCCTTTTGAAGGTCTTTTCTATTACTTTCCTTCATTTCCTGAACATCCTTACCGTCGTCACTTTGAAGTCTTCAGTGGGGAGATTAGAGAGGGCTCATGTGCGTGGGGACCGTTTTGGCATTTGTCTTTGCCCGTTAGTATGAGAGGCGCGCCCCGCTCCCCTTACTCCCTGTGCCTGGTTTACTGTGAGGGATTTTTATTGCAGGCCTGAGTGACTCTGAGGGCCCTCCTTTCTCCATTGTCACTGGGACTGTACTGCCGGCCATGGCCAGGACTTTGCAGCCCGGACCACTGCTGCCCCCCAGTGCTCAGTCCTGGGGCCTCCCTGAAGCTTTGTTGTCAGTCCTTAGAGTCAGGCACCCGGGCAGCACAGAACCCACCACATCTTGAGTGAGTCATCTTTGGAACTTTGGGCTCCTGTCAGGTGCTGTACTGGGATGCAGGGCTGGCTGCTTTCACCTGAACCAGGGAACTGGTCTGCTCCAGCCCTGGAAGGACAGAGAGATGCTTTCCTGCCAGGCCTCTCCTTGCCAGTCCCCACAGGGCAGTTTCAGGAGAAATGCAGACTTTTAGCCCCCCAGTCCTGCCCCATCCCCTCAGTTCAGTGCTACAGTTTCTGCTACACACACACACACACACACACACACACACACACACACACTCACACACACCACTGGGGCCTTGCTCAAACTCCTAATCTAATCTGAAGCCCCCGCTTCTACCTCAATATTCTCCTGGAGCTGCTCACTGGCTCCTCACACTCTGACCACACCAGTGTTTTTGCGATGAGTCCTGGTCATGGCCCCGTTTTCTGTGATGTCTCCTGCTTCAGGATGGTGTTTTGTTTTGGGAACCCAAGACAATCTCACTACCTTCTTTTCTTATGGTCTTTTTTTTTTTTTTTTTACAAATTGTGTGGGTTTTCTTAAGTTTTTTTTTTTATTGAATCATTGTGAGATAGACCCTTTAAAGCTGTTCATGATTAGATTTCAGTCATACGGTGTTCCAACACCCAACCCTCCACCAGTGTACATTTCCCACCACCAATATTCCCTGTATCCCTCCTGCCACCACCATTCCCCTCACCCCCTGCCTCTAGCCTGCATCTATGGAAGGCACTTTTCCTCTCTCTATCTCTCTCTCTCTCTCTCTCTCTCTCTCTCTCTCTCTCTCTCTCTCTCTGTCCTCCCCACCTCCTTTTGGGCATTCTGGTTTGCAATACAGATACTGAAAGGTTATCATATATGTCCCTTTACCTACTTTTAGCCCTCAGTTCTTGTCCAGCGTGATAATTTCCAACTATTGTTGTCATGCTGGTCCCTTCTCTATCTCTGCCATCTTGGTCCAGCCTCTCCACTCCTTCACTTTTATTTTTATTTTTCACTTTTATTTTTAGCTTGTTTTAGTATTCAATTTGAAAACTCCTTGCCTTAAATGGGAGTGTTTAGATTATTCCCTTAAAGTAAATGTTTCCTACAACTGAGCAGCGCCTGTTTTGGCCTTTTCAGCTTTCCACTGGGAAAGGACTAAGTGACAGGGTCTCTGCCTCTTCTTCTAGTTCTCTGTGCCAGTTTTCTAATCTGTAGAGTGGGAATAATTGTATCTAATTGAACCCACCTCAGAGGGTGACTATGAGAATTAGATAATTATATAGAGCATAAAATAAATATTCAGTAAATGAAAATTACAAGTAACTTTAGATAGGTCAATCGATTACTTTTTTTTTCTTTTTCTAACTAAACATCCTCTTCTCATTTGGCTTTTGTGTGTGTGTGTGTGTGTGTGTGTGTGTGTGTGTGTGTGTTGAGGGCATGCACACCTGGCAGTGCTCAGGGCTTACTCCTGGCTCTGCATTCAGGGACCATTCCTGACAAGGCTCAGGGGACCATAAAAGGTGCCAGGAATGGAACCCGGATCAGCCATGTGCAAGGCGAGTGCTTTACCTGCTGTACGCAGTTCACTACTTGATTTGAATGAAGTGTTGAATGAAGAATGGATCTCATGGCAGGAGAGACGGCTCAAAGGAATGAGCTCAGGCTTTGTATGCAAAGGCCTGGATTCAATCCCTTGCACTGCATGGTTCCCTGAGCACTCGGCCAGGAGTAGTCTCTGAGCACTGCAGGGCGTACCTAAAAATTTTGGTTTTGGGCCACACCCAGCGATACTAAGGGCTTACTATTGCCTCTGCAAGGATCAATCCTGGTGGGCCTCAGGGGACCATATTTGATGCTGGGGATTGACCATGGGTCTCCCTTACCTGCTGTCCTATCTCTTCAGCCCCCTGCCCCATTTTTGGGGGAGGGGGAGTTTGGGCCACAATGAACCCAGCTCACAGGCTGAGTGTATGTGGTTCTGCATGCAGGAAGATCGGGCTCAATATTTGGCAGTGCATGGTCCCTGAGCACCACCAGGTGTGGCCCCCCAAATAAACAAGGACAGGGGCCAGAAAGATAGTACAGTGGCTAGGGCACTCACTTTGTATGCCCCTGACCCAGCTTCAATCCCCCGTCGCCCATTTGGTCCCCCAAGTCCACCAACAGTGATCCCAGAGTGCAGAGCCAGGAGTAAGCCCTGAACACTGCCAGAGAGGGCCCAAAACAAAATGAGAAAACCCCAAGATATATCCCAGGTGAATAGCTCAAGTGCACTCTCACCATGTCTAAAGTGTACTGTCACCTCAGTCTTTTACCTTATAAAAACCAAGGGAGATGGCTCCCACTTTGTGGTCAAAACCTGCTCTCAAATGCATCCTGTTCCACTGTAGCCTAACGTGAGACTTCAGCAAGCAAGAGTTTGGAGGGGGTGTGTACCAGAGCCACACTGGCCGTGCTCAGGGCTACTCCCAACTTGTTAGTGGTGGAATGTGGGTTGTTACAGGGGTCAGGCGAGAACAATCTGCATGACCTCATCTCATCCTCACAATTAAGAATGGCCCAGAGGGCTGGAGCAATACAATGGGAAGGGTATTTGTCTTGCATGTGGCCGACCCAGGTTCAATCCCCAGATCCCAGATGGTTGCCCAAGCACCACCAGGAGTAATTCCTGAGTGCAGAGCCAGGAGTAAGCCCTGAGCATCGCTGGGTATGACCCAAAGTCAAAAGAAAAAAAAAATTTAAAAAAAAAATGGCCCAGAGACAGGACTGCAGAGACTACGGTGGGCAGGACACTTCCCTTGCATTCAGCCAACCCGGGTTTGATCCCCGGCATTTCATATGGTTCTCTGAGCACCGCCAGGAGTAATTCCTTAGTACAGAGCCAGGTGTACCCCTGAGCATCACTGGGTGTGACCCCAAAACAAACAAAAATGGTCAAAAGGGGCCGGAGCAGCAGTACAGTAGGGAACTTGCCTTGCACGTGGCCAACCCAGGTTTGATCCCCAGCACCCCATATGGTCCCCTGAACCCCAGCAGGAGTTATCCCTGAATGCAGAGCTGGGAATAGTCCTGAGCACTACTGGATCTGGCTGCAACAACAAAAAAAAAGAAGGCCAAGAGAGCAAGTCCTTTTCCTACCAGTTTCCTTTCTGGGCCTTGTGGCCATCTCCCCACCTCTCCCCGCCTCCTGGGCAGGGCTGGGTCCCAGGAGGGACTCAGTCCTCTGCTACTCAGCCCTTCCCTTCTCAGGCTGCTACTCTCTGTCCATCCGCCTCAGCCGCCCTACATCCTGGGACCGCATCAGACACTACAGGATCCAGCGCCTTGACAACGGCTGGCTGTACATCTCACCACGCCTCACCTTCCCCTCGCTGCAGGCCCTGGTGGACCATTATTCAGGTATGGCCTGTCCTTGTCTCTGTGAAGACTTGGGATGCGGAGCCTGAGGAACGGCTGTTGGGCCCTTAAACCTTTCTCACTGAAGAACACCCAGACATTTAATGCGAGTCCTGTTCTCAGAAGTGTATGCTGGGGGCCAGAGAGATAGTACAGAGTAGAAATCTTGCCTTCATGAGACTGACCCTGGTTCCATCATTTATGCCACACGGTACTCCAAGTGCAAAGCCCGGAGTAGGCCCCGATCACCATTATGCATGGCCCAACACAGAAGCACTTACAAGCGCGTCCATGTTGGCGGCTGTTTTCCTCCACGCCCTGACAGAGCCCCGATGCCAGCGGCTCCTCAAGAGGTCAGACCTGAACCTCCCTGTGACCGTGTGTGAACCAGCCCAGCAGCAGCTGGGACAGGTCACTTCACAGCAACGAGGCCCAGAGCTGCTGGGGCTGTGCAACTCAACTGAGGCTTCGCGTTCCTGGTGCCTGTCTTGTGGGACAATGGCGGAGGTCCCAGGGCAGTGTCAGAGGGCCCGGAGGAGACAGTTCCTGAACTCATTCGAGCTTCTCTGAGACGCCAACAGGAAGACTCTTGAGTTCCTTAGCCTGCTTCTTCCAAAGCCTCTGCCTAGTCAGAAAGTAGGGCTGACAAAGGTCCACCAACCTGCCCTAAATCACCTCCCTGAACCTAGCCCAGCATCCCTGGCTGTAATGGCCGCTCCAGGACACCAAGAGCTTGGGGTTCAGCCCACTCGTCTTCCTTTGCCCAAGCCGCCAAGTGTGGAAAGCGGTCGGGGTGAGGTGGGGTGGCTGCGGGCTAGCTGGGTCCAGCCGGCCATGTCAAGGTCAAGGTCTTTTCCTCAGAGATGGCGGATGACATATGCTGCCCCCTCAAGGAGCCCTGTGTCCTGCAGAGGACTTGCCTGGTTCCCAGCAAGGCCATACCCCCACCTGTGACTGTGAAGACGACACCTGTCAACTGGGAAGAGCTGGACAGGTGAGGGGAACCTGGGAACAGGTGGGACGAGGGGAGGACTTGGCCCTGGGAACCCAACAGGAATGTCACCTTCAAGGGTACTTGAATGCCCACGGCACTGATTTAAAAGTGAAGAAGAGGGGCTGGAGTGATAGCACAGCGGGTAGGGCGTTTGTCTTGCATTTGGTCAACCCAGTTCGATCCCCAGCATCCCATATGGTCCCCAAGCACCACCCGGAGTAATTCCTGAGTGCAGAGCCAGGAGTAACCCGAGTATCACAGGGTGTGACCCAAAAAGCAAAAAAAAAAAAAAGTGAAGAGGAGGGGCAGGAGCGGTAGTACAGTGGGAAGGGCGTTTGCCTTGCAACCCCAGCATCCCAGATAATCCTCCAAGTACCACCAGGAGTAATTCTGAGTGCAGAGCCAGGAGGAGGAACCCCTGAGCATCCTGTGTGTGAGCCAAAATAAATAAATAAATAAATAAAGCAGTAAATCACTGTCATCCCGTTATTCATCCATTTGCTTGAACGGGCACCAGTAACGTCTGCATTCCTCCTAGCCCTGAGATTTTGGCAGCCTCTCCTTACTCGTCCTCCCCAACGTGCCGCATTGGCGGCTCTTTCAGGGTCAGGGGAATGAGACACATCATTGTTACTATCTTTGGCATATGGAATACATCACGGGAGCTTGTGAGGCTCTGCCGAAAGCAATAAATAAATAGATAAATAAAAGTAAAGAGACGGGTGACTCTCTACAGGCCAGTCTGCTGGGAGGCCTGAACAGGGGCAAGCAAACAGGTTCAGCAAAATGGGGCAGATCAGAGAGCACCGTCCCAAGGGCCGAAGCTGGGTGTGCGATAGGGAAGTGGGGGCCACTGAGTACTCAGTGTCAGCGACATGAAAGGGGAGTGTGGCCTGGGTGCAGGCCCACCCTCAGCTCTTCCCCATCTCCACAGCTCCCTCCTGCTGCTCTCGGACACCTCTGCCACGGGACCAGCGTCTCTCCTCAGTGAGGGGCTCCGGGAGGCGCTCAGCTCCTACGTCAGCCTGACGGATGACATCTCTTTGGAGGATGCCGAGACACGAAGTAAAGGCCGGAAGGGGAACAAAGGTTACAGTAGTTAGAATTCCAACTCAGCTCAGCCCGCCTGAGCACCCGAGGCAAGACTGCAGTGAGTGGGGAGGAGGCGCAGACATGGCGCTATATCCCTGCTCCTGGCTCTCAGCGCGAGGCAGTCTGGAAGCTCTGGCTCGAGGCGGGGGCAGCAGGGCTGCAGAAGGTAAGCCCTCTCCACACAGCCAAGGCCATCCGGTTCTTCATCGTCCTGCAGCCCAGAGAGGGAAAGAGGCCCAGATGGAGTGACTAAGGGACAGGAAGTTGAGGGAAGGGGACAGGAGAGCATGACTCGAATTCAAGGCCCAAGGTGAAGGAGAAGGGCTGTTCTAGGTACCATCAATAGATTCTCAATTAAAGATCTGATTTATTCAAATATCTGAAAACATTCTACAATGGAAACTGTTATTAGAAGCCGCTTGCACTGTGCTAAGCATCACGCACGTTCTGCCATACTGTTTTCAGAAGACTTGAAATGCCACTGATGGCTTTTAAAAAAAGTGAGGAAGACAATTTAATGTTTCATCCAGATCCAGAAGTGCTTCCAGTAAATGACAGCTCCAATCAGCAAACTGGCGTTTCATGATGTATCCGAGAAATGGTTGGTGATGGCAGATTCAGAAACGCTTCCCCCAAAGGGGCAGATTCTTTTAAAAGGTTCAGGTCGCAACCCGTGCAGAAGACACTGATGTCCAGCACACTGGCTCCTGGGCTAGGAAACATGGGTCTTCCAGGCTCCACGTGGCTGGGTGCCCCTGTAATCGCATTTCTGGGCTGTAACTGAGAGTCCTTTGGATGGATGGGGAGCAGGGGGGGCGGCACCCCTTCAGTCATAGTGGATGGCCGTGTAGAAGATGATCCAAATGACCTGAGAGGAGAGAAGCACTGGTCAGTCTCCTGTGTCGCAGTCCCCATTCCACTCATGACAGAGGTCAGAGAGGAGCCACTGATATAGGACCAACCGCTAGGGCTCTCGGGAGTAAGCCTCCACACAGGTGGAGCCCTCCTCCTACCCCCACAAATAGGTTAGATAAGAATGCTTGCTAGTTATGGGTAGAGGGGGTAGGACACTTCCTTGCACAGGGCCAACCAGATTCCATCCCCAGCACCCCATATCGTACCCCGAGCCCCACCAGGGATGAGCACAGAGCTAAGAGTAAGCCCGGAGCACTGCCAGGTGTGGCTCACCCTACTCCCATCCCCCACCCGGAACTAGCCAATGTATTAATCTGCTTGGAGGCATCTAAATTTTTTCACCATAATCAAGTTGTCCTGAACAGAGCTCACAGCAGACCTGCTGCCCAAACCTAGCACTAGAGCAACGGATGTGGAAATGAGGGTCCCAGCGTGGCCTGCAGGAACAGGAGTGGTAGCACAGTAGACAGGGTGTTTGTCCTGTGTGAGCTGGGTCCGGGTTTGATCCCCGGCAATCCATATGGTCCCCCAACAGCAACAGCACAGTGGGTAGGGCTTTTGCCTTGCACAAGGCCAACCCGGGTTCAATTCCCAGCATCCCATCTGGTCGGTCCTCCAAGCACTGCCAGGAGTAACTCCTGAGTGCAGAGCCAGAAGTAACCCCTGTGCATTGCTGAGTGTGACCCAAAAAGCAAAAAAAAAAAGAAGTACTCCCTGACTGCCTAGCCAGACTGCTGAGCCAGGAGTATGCCCTGAGCAAGCCAGGTGTGGCCCAACAATACAAGGCCTGTACTGCCAAGGTCATCTGAACACCTACAATACTGTACTGTACTGTGTAGGTGTTCAGATGAGCAACAAATCTGAAAGCCCAAGCCATGCCACTCCACACCATCACATTAAAAAGTCGAGGTTTTCAAGCCTAGCTGATCTCTGCGATCTTCTGGGGCTTTCAAATTTATCAAAGACATTGAGGCACCATCTCCCAGACATCTGACTTTGTTCTGGACCAGCATCTGGACATACAGGGGACTATGTACAATTTTTTTTGAAGGTGGAGGTTGGAGAGGCAGCTCAACGAGCCAGAGTATATGCTCTGCATGCAGGAGGCCCAGATTTGATCCCTGGTATCGCCATGGTTCCCAAGCATTGCCCAATACAACCCCTAACACACACAAATGTATATTTGTGTACTGCACAGGTGGCAGTGCACAGGAGCTAATCCCAGCTGTGCTTGGAGGCCCTCCTGGGAGTGCTGGAGACTAAACTCAGTGTCCCCCACGCAAAGGATGTGCTCTGGCCCACCGAGCTATCTCTCGGCCAAACAGGCCGCATGCAACACAAGCGCCCTACCGGCTCTCTCTCCAGCCCCCGACAAATAGATTTCTACATGTTTCCCAGCTGTTTCAAATGTGCGGCCACGACCACACTCTGTTATGGAGCATTCTGAGTAGAGCCAACAGAGAAAGGCTCTAACCACAGTCTAGCCGACGAGCAGGCTCGTTCCCGGTCACTGATGCCAGGTCTGAGGTGACATGACAAAAGCTGGTGTAAAACGATCAGCCGCACATACCATGAACAAGGCAAAAGACGTCATAAAGCCTTCTTTCGTGAGTTCCCACGTGCCGCCGTACTCCTCCTCATCTATCTGTAGGTAGTTGCTGAAGTAGAGGTACAGGACTCCCGCGTTGATCAGACAGAACCTGCAGAGGGAAGACAAACACCAAACGCAAACCTAAGTGCGGAGACTCCCACCACCACCACCAGCTGTGAAGGCCCCCACTGTGGAATTGTCCACAGAGAGCTACAGTGCAGGAGAATGCTCTCAAGGGGGTTACCTTCCTAACTAAGCCAGAGACTGGATTTTGGGGTACTGGGGTACGAGCCACAGAAGTCCTCACAGGGTTCATGGCTCTGGGCTAGCTACCGTCATTCCTGGATCTGTGGTCTGCGATCAAACCAGGGTCAACTCACGTGACGTGAATGCTGTACCTCCTATACCTCTCCAACCCCAAAGCTAGAGACTTTTTTTTTTTAAACTTTTTGGGTCATACCCAGCGATGCTCAGGGGTTATTCCTGACGGTGCTTGGGGGACCATATGGGATGCCAGGGATTGAACCCAGGTCGGCCGCACGCAAGGCAAACGCCCTCCCCGCTGTGCTATTGCTCTGGCCCTTTTTTTTGGTGGGGGTGAGGGGAGGGAAGGAGGGATCCACACCCAGCAGTGCTCAGGAACCACACCTGTCAGGCCCTTGGACCATATGGGGTGCCAGGGATACAACAGAGGTTGGCCACATGCGAGACAAGTGCCCTTACTGGCTATGCTACCAGAGAGCTGGAGCTCTGTTTTTGAGCCAATCAGCGGGGCTTACTCCAGGCTGTGCCCAGGGATCACGCCTGGTGGGGTCTGGGGCAGGGCACCATAAGTGGTGTCAGAACTGAACTTGGGTCGGCGGCGTTCAAGGCAAGCACCTTACCCGTGATACTATCTCTGACCCCCCATCCCTGAATGTGGCACGGCTGCAGAGGCCAGGACGTGCATGTTAAGGCCCTGGGTGTGGTTCCTGACACAGCAACACACTGCTGGGTACAATCCAGCACCACCAGGTGGGAAACCCACACAGGAACAACACGAAGTCAATTGCGCAGGGTTCCACTGAAAAAGCACATCAAGGACTGGCAAGAAAGTGCCAAGAACTTCAGTGCACATGCTGCACATAGGTTCAAACCTAAGCAGGTTCGATCCCCAGCACCACTTGGTCCCCTGTACACATCAGGAGCGACACCACCAAACCCCCACCAGGATGTGGCCTCAAAACCAAAACTCATAAAAAGTGGGTTGGAAAGCTGGCACAGAGCCTGAGACACTTGTCTTGCACCCCGCTGAGTCTGGTCACCACCGGGTCACCACAGAACCACGAAAAGCCCCTGAACACTGCCAGGTTTCACATACACACCCTGCCCCGCAAATCAAAATCTTATCCTAGCCGAAAAGATGCAGTAACCCCAGGTTTTATTCTAAACCCCATGTGTGGTCCCTCAAGCACCATCAGGGGCCACTCCCAAGCAAAGGGCCAGGAACGGAACCTAAGCACCACCAGGTGTGCCCCACCCCCCTCAAACTCATCCTAAAGATTTCAGTCAGAATTTCAGCAAGACAGTACATCTCAAACAAATACCTTGCACTTTATCAACGGTAATGTATGATCCTGACTCCAGGGTCAAGGGGAATTCATTGTACTTTAAAACATTTATTCATTGTAGTTTATTTCTTTCCCCCTCTGGTTTTTGGGCCACAACCCGCAGTGCTCAGAGCTTACTCCTAGCTCTGTACTCATGATCACTCCTGTATTTTTTTAATTGAAGGGTTGGAGCGACAGCACAGCGGGTAGGGCGTTCGCCTTACAAGCGGCCAACATGGCCGACCCGAGTTCGATTCCTCCGCCCCTCTCGGAGAGCCCGGCAAGCTAGGCAAGCTACCGAGAGTATTCAATATGCCAAACACAGTAACAACAAAGTCTCCAATGGAGACTGGGCCCGCTGGAGCAAATCAACGATCAGATCAACTGGAGGGCCTTTACCTTTACTTTTATAGTGAGATACACTGTTACAAGGTCGTTCTTGACTGGACTTCAGTCATATCATGTTCCAACACCCATCCCTTCACCAGTGTACATTTCCCACCACCAGTGTTCAGGGATCATTCTTGGGGGGCGTCCGGAGACCATATAGGGGCTGGAGTGATAGTACAGCGGGCAGGGCATTTGCCTTGCACTTGGCCAACCCAGGTTCGATTCCCAGCATCCCGTATGTTCCCCCAAGCACTGCCAGGAGTGATTCCTGAGTACATGAGCCAGGAGTAACCCCTGTGCATTGCCAGGTGTGACCTAAAAAGCAAAAAACAAAACAAACAACAGACCATTTGGGGTGCCAGGGATCAAACCTGGATTGGCTGTGTTCAAGGCAAAGACTCTACCTCTGTACTACTGCTCTAGCCCCAGTGTAAAACACTTTTAAACAGGCACATCTGCACCAAGGTCCAGGAGGCAGCAGGAAAGCCACTTTTCGAGATACAAATTCAGGTATCAGGCATATATGCACAATGAGGGGCTGGAGAGAATCTCCAGCAGGGGCTTCAGTTCAATTCCCACTACCACGTGGTCCCCCTTAAGCACTGAACCAGGAGTAGCCTCCAAGCACTGCCAGGTGTGTCCACATATTATCAATTTAATTATAAAGTAAATTTTATAAAAAAAATTATAAATGAGACCCAAGAAATGGTTTTATCCCCACAGGCCCTCACCGGGTGGCCCGAGAGTGAGAAACAACAGGCAGCCCAGGCAGGAAGTGGGAGCAAAGTCCAAAGCCAAGTAGGGAGGGGCTGGAGCAATAGCACAGCGGGTAGGGCGTTCGCCTTGCACAAGGCCGACCCGGGTTCGATTCCCAGCATCCCATATGGTCCCCTGATCATCACCAGGAATAATTCCTGAGTGCAGAGCCAGGAGTAACCCCTGAGCATCGGCTGGGTGTGACCCAAAAAGCAAAAATAAATAAATAAAAGGAAGAAAGCGGAAAAGCCAGCATGTGCAACCAGTTCTGAGGGCAGAGCAAACAGTGCCAAGCAGGGGACTTTCATCCCGAATCCCTCCCGGCACGCTTGGACACAATGGGGTGGGACTCTGCCCAGCATCCAGGCACTGCACCCAGTCCCGAGTGAGCCACTCCAAGGTAACCTCCTGAACACTTGAGATCCGATTCAACAGCCCAATGTTATCATTCTTTATAACGCCATTCATAAAATGACTGAGGAAACAATGTCTCGAGGTACTAAGCATTACATTCAGCAGTTTATTTACATTTAATTTCCCTTAATTTCTACATCACTTTCACAAGAAAAGCACTTTCTCTGCCTCCGTTTCCACGAAGGGGAAACTGGCCCAGGCTGATAGCGTGTGAAAGGGATGGCCGGGCTCTAAGAGAACATGGCCCTCCAGAAGCAGAGGCACCGAGCAGAGCCCCAGCTCCGACGTCGTGTCGTGGGAGGCTCCGCGCTGCAGAACCACCCTCCTTAGCCACGGGAGCGGCAGTTCTGCTGCTGGCGCTCAAGGATGCCCTTTCCGAGAGAAACAGCCTTCGACCAAGGTGGAGGGGAAACAACCCAAAATAAATGGAAGGAAAGAGGGAAGGGAGGGGAGAGAAAAGGGAAGGGAAAGAAAGGGAAAAGGAGCTGACAAAGTGACAGGGCAGAACCGGAACCCAAACCTGCTTTTTGTTTGAGGGCCATACCAAGCAGTGCTCAGTCACATACCAGGCAAGTGCCCAAATTCGTTACTACCTCCCTGGCCGTGATTCCGGAGCTTTACTTTTTTCTTTGGCTTTTGGGCCATACACCAAGGTGCCAGGGAAGAGGGGGTCCTCTTCTTGGGGGTGCTGAGGCGATTAGGTGGTGCTGTGGGTTGCTCCTATAAAGCAAGAGCCTTGGGGCTGGAGAGACAGCACAGCGGTAGGGCGTTTGCCTTGCACAAGGTCGACCCGGGTTCGATTCCCAGCATCCCATATGGTTCCCCAAGCACCGCCAGGAGTAATTCCTGTGCAATGCCAGGTGTCTCACACACACACACAACACACAAGAACCTTAACCTCTGTGTTATGTCTCCAGTCCCTAATTTTTCATCTGGGGAAGTGGGTGATGGGAAAATATCTCAAAGGGCTGAAGTCTACAGGCTTTGCATGCAAGAATTCTGGGTTTGATCCCCAGTACCCGCTGGTGCCCCCAGCACTGCCCAGTGTGTCACACTCCCACCCCCTACTCAATTTGGGAACAATATTAGAGTAGTGGTAGTCCTTGCTATATTAATCCCATATTAGATTAATTCAAAGAATCCCCCCCCTTCTTTGCAGGGGATCCCACATCCAGCTGTGCCCTCAAGGCTACTCCTGGCTTTCTGTGCACAGGGCCAACTCCTGGAGGGCTGGGAGGTGGGGGTGGAGGGGAAGAGGTGGCATCAAACCCAGGTTGGCCGCATGTAAGGCACCATCAGTCTGGCCTCAGAATCCCTTACAGGTACAGGGCTCTTAACCAACATCTCCCTAGACAAACGGTCTGGAGGGAGGATGGAAAAACTCCTTGTTGTAGACCATCTTTCCCTTTCCTGTTGAATTTTCCTCCTGTCTGCCCTTTCTCTCAGAGTAACCACATTTTAAAAAACACTCTTATATAGGAGCTGGAGTGATAGCACCCAGCATCCCCCTAGTATAAGGGATCAACAGATTTGACTTTTCATTGACAAGGGCAAATTTGTATTCCATTTGAGAAAAGCAGGCCTCTAAAGCTCACCCACAATTTCTTTCTCTCTTTTTTTTTTGGGGGGGGGGTCACACCCAGTGATGCTCAGGGGTCATTTCTGGCTCTACACTCAGAAATTACTCCCAGCAGTGCTCAGGGGACCATATGGGATGCCAGGGATCAAACTGGGTCCGCCGCATGCAAGGCAAATAACCTACCCGCTGTGCTATCACTCCAACCCCTTCACCCACAATTTCTATCTTACTGTCTTTTGGGGCTGACACTCCTGCTGATACTCAGCTTGCAACTACTGTGGGCTACTAGGACCATCCCAGTGGAACTCAGGGGACCATGTGGTGCCAGGAATGAAACTCAGAAACTCCACAGCCAGGTCTGTGCTCCGGTCCTTTGAGCCATCTCACCGCCTCCACAGTCCTATCAAAGTAACGCCCACAACCTCTTACTCAATCTGGTGAAATATAGATTCACTTTCAGCGACAGGTTAGAAAGCTGAGTCACGTCAAGGGCTAGTATCAACTGTAGCTGTCACTATCCAGAAAAAGCAAAAATTTAACATGGGGGTCCACCCTCGACTTTTCACTGCCTTTAAATGCAGGGACCTGAAAAAACTACCATCAGAGCCCAGATTCAACGTATCCAGCAGAGTGCCCCGCACAAGGAAATGGTGCTCATTACAGAAACTCCTTCATTTTCCGACCTGCCACAGTCCAAAGGTCCTACGAGAACTAGAGTGGCAGCCACCAACAGGTACTATGGCAGACCCGGGTGGCAGAGAGATCCTGATGGGATGGAGCACATGCTTTGCATGCAGGCAGCCTAGGCTCGATTCACTGCATCCCCTGCTCATTCCCCCAGCATTGCTGGGAGCGACAGAGCCAAGCAGGGCCCCCAGCACTGCTGGGAGCGACAGAGCCAAGCAGGGCCCCCAGCACTGCTGGGAGCGACAGAGCCAAGCAGGGCCCCCAGCACTGCTGGGAGCGACAGAGCCAAGCAGGGCCCCCAGCACTGCTTGGAGCGACAGAGCCAAGTAGGACCCCCAGGTGTGACTCCCCAGACAAGAAAATAAAACATGGCCGCCTCTTGCACACCAGTCACTTTAGACCCATTAATATAGAAAGATTGGCCCATCACTCAGGAAGGGAACAAATATAACGTAAGGTGCTCCAGACGCATAATGCCTTATCCCAAACAAACAAAAATCATTAAAATCAGACCCAGATCAGGGAGCTAGCTCAAAGGGCTGGAGCACAAGTTCTGCATGTCGGAATACCAGGTTAGGTCCAGAACACTGCCCTGTAATTCTGAGCACCAGGGGGAGTAAGCCCAGCACTGAGCCAGGAGGTACCCCCAAACACTGGTGCAGCCCACTGCACCCCCAAATAGCAAAGGCCTTTTTCCATTGAGAGAGAGAGAGAGAGAGAGAGAGAGAGAAAAAGAAAATCTGTGTTTGAAAAATACAAGCCATACAACTAACTTACCCTGCTATTCCCAAGAAACCTCGTAATGGCAATACTCCCCAAATGACACCTAGGACCACAGCAATGATCTGCCGAAACCAGTAGATGACATCTAAAAATTCATCCTGTAGGAGAGAGAGAATGCACACATTATCCGACCCAGGGGCCACAAGGAAAGCCTCCCGGAATAAGAGGAAGAGAAAAGCATTCTGCTAAACACGTCTTCCAGGGAATTCTCTCCCCAGAGCAATGGCATACGGGCCCATCTCCAAACCTGGCTTCCAGGTTCCAAATTCCAAGCGCAAATGTTAATTCGTTTTCTGTTTTTAAGGCCCCCGCCGGCAGGGCTGACTCCCGGCTCCGTGCTCACTCCCCCGGCGGCGCTGGGAGCACCGAACCAGGGGTGGGCTCGGCCGAGGCCAAGCGCCCTGGCCGCTCTGCTCTTTCTCTGGCCCTCCAAATACAAATTCCAGAAACAATCGTTCTACTCGCTTTTAGGAGGCGCAAGGAGCAGAGAAAAGGACTCCTGGGAAGTCGCTGACCGGGACCGGGCCAGGGGCCCCGGACGGCGCCTCTGCGAGCCGGACAGGCGGATGGGCAGCGCGGCGGGTGCCCGGTGCCCCAGATTGCAGCAAGCGGCCCCTCCCCAGCAGAGAGAAGTGACACAGCAGATCGGGCCCGCGGCCGGGGGCCGGGGGCCGGGGGGCTGGGGGCGGCCCGGGCGGGCCCGCGCACGTGGGCAGCGCCCGCACCTTGTCCTCCCAGGCCGCGTCGCTGCGCAGCGCCTTGCTCCACGCCGACACGCGGAGGGCCCCGTTGGCCAGCTGCGGCGGCGACGGCTCCTCCTTCCGCCGCCCGCCGCTCATCCTCCCGTCGCGCCGCCCGGGCCGCGGGGCCTGGGGCGCGCGGGCCGAGCCGGAGGGGTCGGGGTCAGGGGTCGCGGGTCACGCGGCGCAGGGCGGCGGCGGCGGCTCCCGGCGGCAGGCTCGGCTCCCGGCGGCGCGGCCGCGACTGCACTCGCTCCGGCCCGGCGCCCGGCTCGGCGCTCGCGGGGAGGGGGCGGAGCCACACGGCACCTCCTCCCGCCCCCGGACGTGCCCACGCGGCCAATCAGCGGCCGCGTATCCGTGCGTGCGCGCGCCCGAGCGGCCGGTCCCTCCGCGCAAACGCGCTGCGCGGGGCGGAAGTGACGCAGGCTCCTGTCAGGCTGGCGCTAGGGTGAGAGGGAAGGGACAGCCGGGCCCGGGAGGCGGGGGCCCGGGGCACTCCGCCGGGACTCGGCCGCCAGGGGGCGCTGCGGGGTCGGAGGCGCGGCGCCTGGGCCCTCAAGCCCCCTGCCCAGCCCCGCGACGCCGCGACGCTGCCCGGGCTAGCTAGCGCGGCTCGCAGAGGGTCTCCTGCGGTTCCGTCGGCCGCAGCCGTAGGGGGTCCCAGGGGGCGGACACTCGCCCAGGGTGGGAGCTCGCCCCGCAACGCGGAGGAGGAGGAGGAGGAGGAGGAGAACTCCTCGGGCCAGAACAGCGTCACCCCCGCTTCCACCCTGGCACACAGGCTGACAGACAGACGGACACACCTACACACACACACCTGGCTTCTGTGCGAATTCTCACACACACACAGCCACCCTGCTTCTGCCCTGGCACAAACACAGACACACACAGACACACACACACCTGGTTCAGCCACACACACCCGGCCCGGCCACCCACACACACACACATACACACACACACACACTCACCTGGCTTCTGTACGAATTCTCACACACACACACACACACACACCCTGCTTCCGCCCTGGCACACACACAGACACACAGAGACACACACACCCGGCCCAGCTACACACACACAACCTGGCTTCCGTGAGAATTCTCACACACACATACATACCTGGCCACACACACACAATCACGCTGCTTCCGCCCTGGGACACACACCCAGCCCGGCCACAGCACACATACACACACACACACAGAGCCACCCTGCTTCCGCCCTAGCACACACACAGACATACACAGACACACACACACACCCGGCACACACACACCTGGCCCGGCCACACACACACACACCCCTAGCCCGGCCACACACACACACACATACCCGGCCCAGCCACACACACACATACACACACCTGGCTTCCATGAGAATTCTCACACACACAAACATACCTGGCCATACACACACAACCATCCTGCTTCCGCCCTGGCACACACACACCCAGCCCAGCCACAACACACACACACACACACACACACACACACACACACACACAGTCCAGCCCTGAATTCTAAGTGTCCAGGTGGGGGTCCATATCACTTTGTGTGTGCGTGTGTGTGTGTATGTGTGTGTGATTCAAGGGGCTATTCCTGGCTATGTGCTGGCTCAGTGCTGGGGAAAGGGATAAGGCATTGTGGGGATCACTCCCAGTGGTACAGGGGGACCCTGAGGTGCTAACTGGGAGCCTATGTCCATCTGTAGGGCAAGGCAATTGCATTCAGTGTTTTTGTTTGTTTGGGGGACACACCCAGCTATGCTCGGGACCATATGAGGTACCCAGGATTGAACTCTGGTTGGCCACATGCAAGGCAAGTACCTTACCCACTATACTATCACTTAGACCCCTGAAGGGGTCTTTTTTGGGTGGAGGAGGGGATGTAGGGTTGGGGACCGCATTCAACTGGGCTTTGGGTCTCCATCTGGCTCCGTGCTCAGGAGTGAACCCTGGCACCTGCTGGAGGATCATTTGTGATGCTAGGGATGGAACCAGGATCAGCTGCGTCCAAGGCAGGCATCTTCCCCCTGTACTTTCTTTCTGGCCCCTGCTGTTTGTTGCAGTTTTATTGCGAGGGGGATGGCATGGTGGAGGGCGTTGAACCACAGCTGGCAGTGCTCAGAGCTTACTCCTGGCAGAATTTGGGGAACCATATGGATACAGAGGATTTAACCTGGGCCCAACAGTGCAAGAAAATCTCCTCAGCCCCAGTACTCTCTCTCTCTCTGTCCTCATCGTTCTTAACAGGACCTCCAGGTAGGAGCACTGTGTTATGCATTAGCCTGAGACCAGGGAACATTACTATAGGCAAATTTACAGAAGCAGCAAAGTAACTCATCCACAATTAATGACTAGTACCTGGATCCAACTGTAAGTCTTAAAGAATATTAGCAAGGTCAGAAAATCTTTTGTCAACATTCACCTGTTATTCTCCACTTTAGGTGAACACAAGAAATCTCTTAGAGGGGCCGGACTGATAGTATAGCAGATAGGACGTTTGCCTTGCATGTGACTGACCTGGGTTTGATTCCCGGTATCCCATATGGTCCCCCAAGCACCACTAGGAGTAATTCCTGAGTGCAATGCCAGGAGTAACCCCTGAGCATCACCATGTGACACACACAAATATATTTATTTTTTCACACACACATATATATATATTTTTTCAGAATACCAGAGCAGGTGACCACCACAATCAAGTCCCAGCATCCTGGGTTTTTGTTTGTCTTGGGGGTTAGTGTGGGCTCACACTCAGTAGTGATCAGGTCTTACTTGTGGCTTTGTGCTCAGGGATCATTCTTGGAATTGCTCTGTGACCCTTATGTAGTGCCAGGTATCTAAAGAGGGTCTGCTGCATGCAAGGCAAGAATACTACCTGCTGTATTATTTTGCCAACGTCCTGTTTTAGTGGGTGAACTTGGGCCAGACCCCAAAGGTAAGAAGCACTACAACAGATCTTACCTTTGCGGGAGAGCATTATACGGGGTACACCTTAAGCCCTGACACTCCCAAGGGCCTTGATCCTTTAATTCCTTCCTCTTTTCTGAACCGTTTTCCTTCCATATGGAAACTTTGGTAAAATCTAATCAGCTTACTCCAATTTGAAATATACACTTGGCTGTAAACCCTTTGTTACAGACTCCTGGGTAGCTTGCAATGCTGAAGACAGACATCAGTACCATGACGGTTGGACTGCCTAGCCTTATTCCTAGACTGAAAAGGAAAGCTTTCCCTCTGGGTCTAAGGACACCGGTTGTAATGGGAACCGGATGCGTTGGGGGGGGAGGGGGTGTTAGGGAAGGCAGCTCTGAAGGAAGAGTAGATGGGGAAGAGGAGACATTGGGGTGTGTGAAACCACGTGACTAATCTAAAGCAGGTGCTGAGGGGTGGGGCCACCAGAGCTACACCCATGCTGGCAGGGGAGGACGTGCTGTGCCCAGGATTGAATTTGGGATCAGATTATGGCTCAGCCTTAGGCCCTAATTCAATCCCCAGCACCACAAAAAGAGGAGGGAAATTTTTTAAGCTCCAGCCTCTGAGCACCAGTAGGTGTAGCCAGAGAAAAACAACAGAAGGGGCCAGAGAGATAGTGTAGTGGGTAGGGAGCTTGCCTTGTATGTGGCTGACCCAGATTCGATCCCTGGCACCCCACAGGGTTCCCTGAGCCCACCAGGAGTGATCCCTGAGCACACTCAGGTGTGGCCCAAACAAAACAGAAAACCAACCAGGCCAGCAGTTCAGTGCTAGGATCTGAGGCTCAGTGCTGTTCAGCGCTTGGAAAACCAGGGATTACCTGGGCCACCCTAGAGGTGCTTGGGACCACCCAGAGCCACCGCTCAGCAGTGCCAGGAATAAAACTGGGGGTGGTCACATGCAAGGCATACACCTTAAATCCTGTATCATATCTCCAGCCCATTTTCATGTGTTTATTGACCATTTGTGTATCTTCTTTGATTTTGTTTGCTTTTTTAGTCACACTCAGAGATGCTCAGGGATTACTCCTGGCAGTACTGAGGGGACCATATGGGATGCTGGGATTGAATCTGGCAAACGCCCTACCCGCTGTACTATCACTCTGACCTGTTATGTATGTTCTTATGGAGAAGTGTCTGTTCCGCACTTTTGCCCATGTTTGAGACAAACAGATCATTTGTGTTTTGTTGTTAAATTATTGAGATCTGTATATATTCTATAAATTCCTTATTGCGCCTGTAATTTGTAGATCTTGCCTGCTTTACTGTGGGTTTCCTTTCTTTCCATGTTGATAGTATTCTTTTCTTTTGGAGAGGGATGGGGTGGTGGGGACAGGTGCCTGGTCCTGCATCCTGATTCTACATGCAGAACATTCACTCTGCCATTAGGTTGCATCCCAGATAGTGTTCCTTATTAAAAAGAAAAAGGGAGGGGGGAGCTAAGCTATAGTATAGCAGGTAAGGCATTTGTCTTGCACGCATCTACCTGGTTTTGATCTCTGGTATCCCATATGGTTTCCCAAGTACCGCTAGGAGTGGTTCCTGAGCATTGCTGGGTGTGCCCCTCCCCGCCAAAAAAATGTGTAGTAGGTGTTAGGGAGAAGAGCTGAACAGACTGAGTGAGCATGCAGAAAGCCCAGGTTTGACAACTGGTACCTCATGGATCATGAGCACTGCCCAAATGACCGTTGAGCACAGAGTTTTGAGTAGCCCTTAATCATCTATGATCTCCCTCCTGAAAAATTAAATTAAAATTTAAAAATGGGCTGGAGCTGCTGGTGCGATAGCACAGCGGGTAGGGCATTTGCCTTGCATGCAGCTGACCCGGGTTCGATTCCTAGCATCCCCTGTGGTCCCCTGAGCACTGCCAGGAGTAATTCCTGAGTGCAGAGCCAGGAGTAACCCCTGAGCATCGCCGGGTGTGACCCAAAAAAGCAAAAACAAAAACAGGGACTGAAGAGATAGTACAGAGGGTAAGGCTTGCACACAGTAGACTCCAGTTTGATCCCTAGCACTGTATCTGGTCCCCTGAGAACCATCAGGAGTGATTTTCTGAACACAGAGATAGGAGTAAGCCCTGAGCACAGCCAGTTATGGCCCACAAATCCATAATTTTTTTGGGGGGGCCACACCCGGCAATGCTCAGGGGTTATTCCTGGCTCTGCACTCGGGAATTACTCCTGGCGTTGCTAAGGGGGGGGGGCATATGGGATGCTGGGATTCGAACCCGGGTCAGCCGCATACAAGGCAAATACCCTACCCGCTGTGCTAT